CAAGACCTCAAATGGGAGTCCACCATCACCACCATCAGAAAAAAGGCCCAGCAGAGGATGTACTTCCTGAGGCAGTTGAAGAAATTCAACCTATCACCACAGTCGATGAGGCAGTTCTACACCGCTATCATCGAGTCCATCCTCACCTCCTCCATCACCGTGTGGTACGCTGGAGCTACCACCAGGGACAAGAAGAGGGTGCAGCGTGTCGTACGCTCTGCAGAGAAGGTCATTGGCTGCAAACTCCCCTCCATTCAAGATCTGTACACGTCTAGCACATTGAGGCGTGCAGGTCGGATAATAGCTGACTCGTCTCACCCTGGACACAGTCTCTTTGACTCGCTCCCATCTGGCAGAAGGCTCAGATCCATTCGGACCAGAACCTCTCGCCACAAAAACAGTTTCTTCCCTTCTGCAGTTGGACTTTTGAATGAAAATCCTAGGGCAGCCCACTCCAGTTGATTGGTCCCAGTCACGTGACCCGATGCTGTGCTTGAACCATTCAACAAATACTCAGATAAATACCTACACGGAGTAGATAGCTGCTTCTCTAATTCTTGCCACTTTTTACATTAATAATTTTATCATGAGTGTTTTATTAGTTCTTATATTTGCTTATCTCTTAATTATTTTTTTTCTTTCTTACCTTCTGCACTAAAATACCGCAGCAATTTCCTAATGTTGTGACTTGGCACACATATGGCAATAAAAACTTCTGATTCTGATTCTCTACATACTACAACAGAACCAGGACCAGGCCCAGGGTTCAGAAACACATCATGAAGAAAAAAACCAGAGCAGGACTGCAGCTGCTACTGAGAGAGGACCTGAAGCCTTGATCACATTGATTGTAAAATGGATACGATCCAGTTTCACATAGGTCAGAAATCATTGAGTCCAATCAGAGTATTTACACCAGCTGTGGTGTGGATGCAGAGCTCCAAGTTTCCACATGGAGTAAAGTTAAATACCTCACCTGAGCCTGACAGGAAGTGAGATGTGAATGATGACTAAAGTCACCATTTGCATTTTTTTACAGTGTGGGCGTCAGATTGAGCACCCGCACAGTGAGAACAAACATCCCAGCTCTAATCCCCATCTTCATCCGCATACATCACACGTCACATGATCAGGAAGCAGAAAATCCATGTGTTAGGAGATCGTTTTGGGCCGCTGCTGTAAAATAAGTGAGGCGCGAACCAGAAAAGCTTCTGCCGATCACAATTCAACAACGGATTATGAAAGAACGGATAACGCTCGAAACGTGCAGATTCTTCCTGATGTAAAAGGTGAGTCCACTCTTTGTTTTGGTAGTTTAGGCGTTGACATCATCCTAGCGCGCAACGTTCTGTGACTCTTAAAAAAACAGTAAAATTGCTGAAAAACGCTGGCAGCGATGGGCTTTACTGATCAGGAAACGGCTGGCAGTCAATGAGTTAAGGAGATTCAAAGGTGAAATATGTAAAGCCTGGTTTATGCTTCTCCGTCAGCTCCGCAAGGGACAGACACGCACGGATTGACGGAAGCGTTTTGCTCTTTTACTTCTCCGTCTCCTGGAGAGTGTTGCAAAGCAATTACCCGGCAGGACCACAGAGGGCGTAGCGCTGTTCTGTGGTATCCTGTCATGTATCCGGTCCAAGATTGTTTGTTTATATTGTGTTTTGTGTATATAAGAGACTTTTAACATTTGTCTCTCATTCCCCCACCGCTTCATGCGCTCCCCACCTCTAAACCCATGTTTCCTGTCATTTCCGTCCACGAATAAAACACTTGCTGCTCATCTTTTCACTCCTCCAGTCACAGGAGAATGAAACGTTCCTATTTTTAGAGTTTTTTCGCGAGGTATTCTTCAAGCTTCTCCGTGTCTGTCGCTAGTTGTCCTCGGCTCTCTTTGCAATGGCGGTGCTGTAAACAACAGCGGCGTCCTGACCAATCACAAGCTTGCGTAATCCGTCTCGTTCGACGGATGTTTAAAAAAGTGGGCTCGACTCCGTACGTACTTGCGTGCCTGCCGGAGCCCTACGCAAGGACGGATAATGGCGTTGCGTGTGCTCCGCACTGACGCAGACGGAGAAGCATAAATCAGGCTTAAGAATTTAGTAATGGTGACATCCTGTGGGTAGATTTGGTTACAATTTTAATTTCAGTTTCTGTGGGTTGCCAGTTAGGGAAACTAAAGTTTTAACAACCATGAAACACTATCTGTGTTTTTACAATTCTGAACTGCTTAAAAAAACTGTATACTATACCAAGTTTATTTCTATAACTCATTTTAAAACAGCAGGACGGCTGATCAAAGATACAACATACAGCAATGATAAAAAAACAGCATAATAAAATCAAACAGTGAGATATAATTATAAAATCTGTGGTCAAAAGCAAGATAATATGATATATATAATATAGTGAAGAAAAAATAGGGCAACGTTAGAGTCACAAACCTAAAACATGTATAAACCTGTGTTGTTTTACATAGTTATTATATAATGAATATTGAAGGAATGATTTTGCTTGGAGAATCACAAGAAAAATAAACATACTTTAATTGTAAAAGCAACTGTGTTTGAAGGAAGGATGAACGAAAGAAAAAACTAAGTTAGATGAGAAGTCCGTATTTTGCAAATTTGTACTATGAGGAGCCAAATGAGCAACTAAATTTCCATGTTGGCCTGGAGACCCCAAGATTCCCTCATAGAAGCTGACAATAGTTCCCACGATGAAGGAAGTCTGGTCTGTCGATGGACGACTGCTTCCCCAGCACGACTATCCATCAGTCAGAAAAGGATGGGTGGAGTCTTTATTTGTCTGGAATGATTGCGCTCGACATAATAAAGCATACAAAACATGATTGTTATACAACTTTACATCAAAAGGAAGATCTAAATTATTTCCTCACAGCCATCATTTATTTGGAAGTTTATAAAATTATTTAAATTAAGTTTTCAGTCCAGCTTTGTGTAACAAAATGATGAGATTATCTTTGATAATGACTGCAGGTGTGACAAGTAATGACATATTTAATGTTGTAAACTTCACTTACCAGCGCCTCTTGTGAACTGGCTTTGCTAAAGTCCTGTTGGTGATGCAAACTTCCTGAGGTCATCGGGCCATCTAAAGATTCCAAAGCTCCTTCACCTTCATTTTGAGGAAACACCTGTTATGCTCAATATATCATTCTACTGTTGTAGAGATGAACACATTCAATTTAGTTTATTTATATAATCGCCAAATCAGGACAAGAGTCGTCTCAAGGCACTTCAAACAGTAAGCATTCTAATACAGGTCAGTTCATTCAGCCAATCAGTAAAACGTTAAGGAACCTAGCAGGTTGCATGGAGTCACTGACTAGTGTCAGTGACTTTACAGCAATCCTCATTCTAAGCAAGCATTTAGCGACAGTGGAGAGGAAAACTCCCTTTTAACAGGAAGAAAGCTCACTTCACTCACTGGGGATCGAGAAGACACCTGCGCACGCGCGTGCGTGCGCGCACACACACACACACCAACTAGTGCTTCTATGGTTACATTGTGATTTCTAAGTAAATATTCTATTTGGTGAGAGTTAAACTTATTGAATTTATCCTAGTGGATCTATAATTAAACAGGTAAACTAGTAGTAGCACATTCTATGTCAAAGGAAGTAAAATGTTATTATCAGGAGAGAGAGAATGTTTAAAGAGCAAGTAACGTCTAAATTAACTTTTTTTTGCTGATGAACTGTATAAATGAGTGTCTAATAGTGTTTTAAATGTGTGTATTCATTATTTTAGCATTTTGGTGCATTTTCTTTAAAAATAAAAAATTCTGCCTAAATACCACAGTATAGCGCCACCTTCAGCTTAAAACATAGAATTTGACTAATTTTGAATAAATTTTAGCCAATGGCTAAAGAGTAAGATACTACGAAAACCAGTAGAGTACTACGTAGCAGCTCTTTGTTAAAGTTATAAAAGCAACGAGCGTCTCGGCCACGCCTTGTGGCGAGTTGGGAGTTGGATTTGCAAGCGCGTGTAGGAGGTCAGCCGTAGTTCAGCATTAGCATATAGCATTAGCATATCCTAGTCTTTAGCGTAGCCTTTAGTGTTATACATACTTATTTAGTGTTAGCTTGGCTATTGGATAGTGTAGTTTAGTTAGTGTTTGGCTGTTAGTGTTATTAGGAAAGTAGTTCAGGTTTAGTGCTCCATATCGTGTTAGTATGCTGTGAGAAGGTGTAGTGTAGTATGGTTGCGGTGGCTCTGTGGGGTTGTACTCCTTTCCGCTGGACTTAGAAATTAGGTGCCAGTGGTTGCGTGTCTGGAAAACATTCAGCTCCCGCCGGGTGCTGTAGTTTGCAACCAGCATTTTACCCGTGATTCTGCACGTCTTCGTTTCAAGAGGGAGGCTGTGCCCACCGTGGCTCTTCCGCGATTTAGACGCAGCCCACCGACTCTGCTCCCCCACCATGACGGGCTCCAGTCTGAGGTGAGTAAGCTAAATAGAAGTTAACATCTTCTAAAGACAATTCCCTTCCTAAATGCAAAGTTTGCGAGACGTGGTTCACTCCATTTAGCTAATATCAGCCTGCACTGCCTTCGGGCAGATTTCTCAAGTTCACAAAATGTGGAACGGGATGTAAGGTTAGAATCAGCGGCGAATCGGAACATATCTCGAAGCCCTGGCCGACAAAACGGTCCACATGACTGTCAGGTTCAGAGAAAATTCGGGTTGCTTTTGTGTCAGTCGGTAATTCTGCAACAGTGGCTCTAACTAATGCAGCACTAGTTGACAGACATCATTACAGCATGAAATCCAGCACAGCGTGACCCGGTTCCGTGAGGAATTCTGTTCAGGAGGTCGCATTTCAGGCTCTCCACATCATATATGACTGACTTTTACGTTATAATAATGATCACACACTAGGGATATTATAAAGCGCCTATATGGGACAGTTTCTTTTGTATATTATCTGACTTTGTAAACTCCCAACAACAATGTGCTTCTATTTTTTTCAGGCTAAATCTACCCAAGACATTGGCTGTCAGACTGATTTAGTAATCTGCAAGAATGCACTTGTCCAGGCTGACGTGAAGCCTTACCCGTAGCGAAGGTGAATTATTTTTAATAATCTTCTATGTAAACATTTTATTACCTTCTAGTTTTAATTTGTTTTACAGATTGTTACGCATGATTTTATGCTCTTTTAAACGTTTATAAATATGCTGCTTCTTTGTTTTTTATAGAGCTCCCAGCCGCAGTGTGTTTTGTGACACAGAGACCATGACAGAAATTCATCTTCTAGAAAGTCCCAGAGCAGCGTCCACACCCCCCTGAAAAGACCAAGATGTGAGGTGTCTGCTGTCGATTCCAGCTTCCACCTCAGTGACAGTGCAAGCTCAGTGAACTGTTCAAGGAAAAAAATTAAAACATTTCTGAATTTTTAAGATATTAACAATTAAATAAGTATGTGATTACATCATGAAGGAGGCTACTGATTCTGCCCCTTTGACACTTGGTGGTGACGTGTGAGCTGATTCACCTGGTAAATAACTTTTACTTTAAATATTTTGTTCTTTGCTATCAAAAGTAAATTAACTAATAACCTGCATTATTGCAGGACACTCAGCAAAATATGGACTCTACACCATGAGGCAGGCACACGTTAATACTCAATAAGAGCACATAAGGTGAGCAACACCACATATTATTATTATTGTACACCGTCCTGGATTTGTTTTCTTTCTGCATGATTTGTTTTCTTTCTGCATCTCATCATTAGCCTGGCTGATCACCTGATAACTCCTGTCATCTGGTTATGACAGCATGAGGATGTCCTCACACACCTGTAACCTATCAGCTCATCTGGCAGAATAGAGAGAGAAGAGACAGCACCACATCTCCTGTTCCTGGAAAGCCTTCAGCCATCCTTCGATGACCGAGAACCTCCATCAGCTCTGTCTCCTGTCTGCCTACAATTATTATAATAAATATTGTGTTTGACAAGTTTTTGTGCTGCCAAATATCTCATTTTGATTACAGTTTTGATATTTTAATGGATATTTATAAATTACATTAATTGAATTATCACATTGTTGCATGTTTATCTAGCTCTATTGTGATGAATTAAACTAGCACCTCACTGTTAAAAGCTCGTTTTAATTTCAAGCATGTTTAAGTATTTATGGACATGAACAAAAACAGGAAATATATAAATTGAGATTTATTTAATTAATATAACAAATAAGAGGGAATGAGTCATTGAAAGGCACATTCTTCTGGAAGCTCCTGATCCTGACGACACCAGCAGAGACCAGCTGCAGACACCAGAGGATCACCTGCAACCAAGAGCAGCTAGTATCAGTAAATAATTAAATCAGGGCAGTTTTAGTGGGCTGAACACATTACAGAATAATTTTCTCATGGGATATTTTCATAACTTTATGCAGCAGACTGTAGCTTGAGCCCAGAGCTGCTATCCAGCACGTTTCAGTGGTTTTCCTGCTTTAACAGGTTAGATAAGCTGTTAAGCAGCTCAGCTATTTGTTGCTGATTAAAACCAGGTGTGTTGAAGCAGATAAATCTCTAAAACATGCTGAATACTAGCTCTCGGGCCGTGGAGCAAAACCCTGCAGCTAATCTGGTGCTATGGCTAACGGCTACTTACCATTCAGAGCTGGTTCTGTTGAGTCGGTTCCGGTAATTTCAGGCAACTCACAAGCTCAAAACAATAAGGCTCAGGTCCGCTTGTCTCCTCCAAATAGACTTGGTCCCTTTCTTCTCGAGTGTCTGGGTAAGGAGGGGGAGAAACGTCCTCCACTTCTAATGACTGCTCAGAGTGAAGGGAGCTAGCATCGTCTAGTTAGCCATCGTCTTCGTCACTGCCGCGGCTCCGCCCTCTCGGTCCTCCAGGCAACGCCTACTAATGTTGCAGTTTTACAATTGATACGTGGGTGGAGTAAGACTCTGAGGGGGACATTACTACTTCTTTAAGTAGTTAGCAGCAGTGTGCTAGCCGATGGCCCCCTCCATGAGGCCACCACAGCTCAGCAGAACATCATTGAAGCTTCTTCTGGGGAGAAAAACACTTAGAGAGAAAATAAAGTTAACAGCTGAAATTGCAGGAAATACCGTATTTTCCGGACTTTCCGCTACTTTTCCCTCCACGCTTTGAACCATGTGGCTTATATTGAGGTGTGGCTTTACTGAAGATTTTCCTTCACCTGCCAGGCGGCGCTTTAGCAGAAAGTGAAACAGGTGGAAGTCAAAAGTGGAAATTGGCAGAATTAGCAAGCAGATACAGGACAGCCCGAGGAAGGAAGAAGTGTCAATAACTGCATCAATGTTGGAACACAAACCTAGGGCACTATTAAAAATAACACATTAAGAATTCATCAGAAAGTTGTAGCTGCACAAACACGCGCGCGCACACACACACACACACACACACACACACACACACACACACACACACATTTATTTTTTGATATTTATATTGGCCTCATTCAAGTTAAATACTTTTTAGCAATATTGGCCAGTTCACTAGGTTGCTGTCAGTGACAAGGCGGGGGAGCATTGAGGTCCCAGCATTGTCACCCCAACCCCCCTTTTCCCCAAGCGGGACCTCTCCAGAGTAATTACCCCTGTCACTCAGTCACTGCACCCCGTCCCCACCCAAACAACATCATTGCTGTGACGATGGATGCATTGATGCCACTAATCACCGACTGCCCCCTGGACAACTCGCACCCCCTTTCTCCTTCATATCACCTCCCCATGTTTACAAGCCCCAGCCCTGTGGATCCCCACAGCAGCTCCCTGGTTTTATATGCATACATTTTAGCCACTAATTGTAACGGAGGAGGACTTGATGGTCACGGCTGTTAGAGGTGATTTTAATGGGGGAGACACCACATAATGGCTGTGCCCTTACGCCCTGGTTTGTTCCCGAGCCTCATTAAGGTGATCAGGCAGTGCCAGTCAGAGAGGTCCGTAGCTGGGTTACGAGGACACGGCACCTCAGGACCAAAAAACAGCCTTCCAAAACTCACATTATAGTTTAAATCATGATGTGAAAATGACGTTGATTGGGGATTTCTCTCAAACAAATTCAACACTGAAAGTGAGTTTAATCAGACGGTGCTTTTACATGGTTTTCCCTATGGTTTACATTACTGTCATAGATTGAAGTGTCTGTTTTCTACCCTGAGCACAAATGGAAATAACATCTCCACTTAAATATTGTGTTTTTATGTTCTGGTTACTGTAACTAATGAAAACGGAATTTTATTTTTCAAGCAAACCAAAATGAACAATAAAAATACACTTTTACTTTATTTATTGTCCTTCCATGCTTCTTTAACATTTATTTATTATCATCTGCACTTTGCTATTTATGTATTCTTTATCTATAAAGCACTATGCATGTCTGTTTGTCTGTAAACTAGGCCCTATGTATAATTGTCTGTTTTTATTAGCAGTTCCACTACTTATAATCTTGTCACAGCATATCTATAAACAAAATCCCCTAAAAAAACAATATAACAGGTATAATTCTCATTGAATAATTAAATTTCCAAACTAGAGTCGGACTCAAACATGGAAGTTCTGACACTGGATTGTAAAGACACAGTTTGTTTGAGGACCCAAAGAATATTCCAATGTTACAGAAGGACTGAGGAAAGGATTAGGACATTTGCAGTTGGAAAACTGGAGAATAATCTAGGATCTAAAATCAGAGATTATATGAAGAATAAATGTGCAAAATGAAAATTGTGGTGAACAGGCGAGTTGATGTTCTCTAGATGTAGTGCTTGAAGTGAAAGTAAGTGTTTGTCTTCCCCATAGAATTTATCAGATCTAATGTACAACCTCTTTCAACAATGGGATGGGAATTAAAAAGAGAGATCATATCTTTCCTGTCTTAGCTTCCCTACATTGGCTGCCTGTTAATTTAAGAATAGATTTTAAGATCCCCCCTTCTCACATATAAAGCTCTTAATTGTCAGAAAACTCAATCAGACAGGAAATATGGTAGATTCCTGTTGTGCCCCAGGATGCAGAACAGGCGCGGACAACATAAGGAATGCGCCATCTACAGGATTCCCCAAGATCCGGAGCGCCGCAAACGTTGGAGCATTGTAATAAAATGCGCTAGTGACCGGGCTGAAATGAAGCTGTGGGATCCCGAGAGTAAAGGTTTTCGCTTATGCAGCGACCACTTCATATCAGGTACTTAAACCAACGTTTCCTCAACTGTGTATGGTATTTATTTTTAATGCTTTTATTACGATTCTTAGTGGGCTTCCTAAATATATTTTGGCGTGGCTTTTTCTGTCTTATTACTCATAGCAACAAGTAGGGCTGGGCGATATATCGATATTCTTTAAATATCGGTATAATTTTTAGACAAGATATAAGATGACTTTATATCTTTATATCGATATAACTGGCCAAACTGCTATGCTAGCGATTAGCCGCTATGCTAGCGACATGTTGCTCCGTCTCTAAGCGGCTATTGCGTGTATTCTCACAAGTTTGCTCAGTCTGAGAGCCTCTGGGTAAATGTGCTGCTCTAAACTTTGCATTTGGCCTCCTGGTTTTTAATTATTTGGGGACGTTCAATGCCAACGGAGTTCTGTTTTCCATCCTGCTTGTGCGGAGAGACGAGCCAACCCCCCCCCCCCCCCCCCCCCCTCCTGTGTAATGAGGAAACGGCTACGGAAAGCCGGAGTGGCCAAATGACCTGAAGCATATTGTAAGGGTTTGAATAGTAAACTATAGGCCCGGATCTTTCATGATAAGCCCCGGATCTAAATCGCGGAAGTAACATGCAGTACCAAAGTCCAACAGAGAGGGCGCAGCTGGCAGTACTTTGTATACAGCCTGCCTGAGCCTCCACCACTGAAGAAGAAGCCGTTCAGCAGCTGGCTTCTTCTACACTCTCTGTCTGAAACGCATGAGTGAAGATGGACATAAGGACGTTTTTTAGACAAAAAGTACAACGACAGAACCCCAGCTTTGATGAGACTGGTGCTGACTCAGGTTTGTGAGTCTTATTTGAAAATATTTGTTGTGCTGCTGGTTTGCCTAAAGTTAGCTTACTATCAGGTAAAGTTGTTGGAGAAAGAAAGGGAATATTTACTATCATCTCACACTAAACACTAACAGGAACAATACTCTGCCCTGAATATGCTGAATATGTAGCTTCAGATTAAAAATTATGTGGTACAAGATATATATATATATATATATATATATATATATATATATATATATATATATATATATATATATATATATATATAAATGATGTTGACTAGTGCGTGTCACGTGTGTGTACGCGCGTGCGTGTGTGCGTGCGCGTGTGTGTGCGCGCGTGTGTTAAGCCCCGGATCTTCTTCAGTCCTAAATCCGCCCCTGGGCGACAGTAGCCCGAAAATAACACTCATAAAGAGCAACCAGAGACTCTGAATCATTACAGTATAATCGCTGATATGAGCCAACACTGCTAACTAATAACTAACAACTAGTTAATAACTAGTTTTTCTAATTACTAATAACTCGATGGTGCATGACCCATGTGATCTTCAGTAGATGCAATTACATCATCGTACATTTAGCTTAACATGATGGATTTTTTTTCTCTGGACAAGACCTATACAATATGGGCCACCTCTAGATGAAATTTAAATAATTTTACATTAATTATAAATATATAATTAAAAAGTGCCTGTGGGAGATTTGATACACATCTGGCTCTCAACTCTGTGTGTGTGTGTGTGTGTGTGTGTGTGTGTGTGTGTGTGTGTGTGTGTGTGTGTGTGTGTGTGTGTGTTGGCAGACAGCTGTACCTGTGTTACTAAAGCTCAGACTGGTAGAGAATAGGCACTACGGTTAAAGTCTGACAAGAATCAATACATTTTTATGCATTTAACCTACTGATTTATGTATATAATTTCTCAAGAGCTTGAAGTGAGTTAACTTGTCAACAGTTTACAGGAGGAAAAATATCGAGATATATATAGTATATTGGAATTCAGCTTAAAGATATCGAGATATAAGTTTTGGTCCATATCGCCCAGCCCTAGCAACAAGTAAACATCACGTAAAACGTTGCCTCGTGATTTCTGCGTGCTGCCGTTTACGTGTCTTATGATCACAGCAATTAACTGGCTAAGCTGTATTTCATTTTAAGCAATGGTTGATCAATTGTCAGATCACACATAAAAAGCACTTTGGATCTCACCGAGACAGATCTCAGACAGATCCTGAGACGCTCCTGCCTGACATATTTATTGTATTCACGGAAAAAAATCAAACTAGTGATTTCTCTTGGCGTTCAGTTTATACATTCAAAAAGCCC